GAACTACAGGCGTGTGTTACCATGCCCGGCTAATTTTTTTTATTTATTGTAGAGATGAGGTCTCGCCAAGTTGCCCGGGCAGGTCTCGAACCTGCGGGCTCAGGCAGTCCACTCACCTCAGCCTCTCAAAGCGCTGGGATTACAGGCTGAGCCACCGAGCCTGGCTCAGGATGGGTTTCTAAAGGCGCTGATTTTGAAGGGGCCACGGGGGCTACATTTTGAAGGCTGGGTAGAACTTTCATAATTGGAGAGGGGTGTCCAGAAAGTTCAGTGCAGGAAGAGTTCATGGCATGAGCAGGCCCCAGAGGTAGAAGCCATGGTGTTGGGGGAGGGGCAGCTAGGGGCTCAGTTAGCCTGAGTGTGGGTCCCGTACAGAGGGACACTCTGGCAATGGGGCTGCACAAATAGCTCAGGTTTATATTTGTTAAGAGTTGAGTCTGCTTAGAAGCAGAGACCTCCCCCTGCACAAGCCCCCACAACAGTGTCTTTAATTCAATAGGCCTCATGCATCATGTAAAATAAATATGGACTGGGATGGGTGTGGTAGCTCTGTGGCCTCAGGATGGCTGCTGTGGCTCTAGCCTTCACAGCTCCATTCCAGGTAGGAAGAAGGAACAGGAGAGAAGGGGAAAATTTATCTGCCTCTTAGGGCAGCTCTCAGGATTCTCCTCTGCCTGTCCCATCCCTTTAGGACTCAGAGGAATGAAGTAACACAAGAGAGAAACAATGGAAGCAGCCTAAGTCTCCACCAGCACCTGGCCAAGTTTTGTTTTCTATCATGTTTCTTTTCCCAGTTTTACTTTTTTTTTTTTTGAGTCAGAGTCTTACTCTGACGCCCAGGCTTAGAGTGCAGTGGCACGCTTACAGCCACTTGACCTTCTGGACTTAGGTGATCCTTCCTCCTCAGCCTTCCATGTAGCTGGAACCACAGGCACACACCACCATGCCCAGCTAATTTTTTTTTATTTATTGTAGAGACGAGGTCTCACCAAGTTGCCCAGACTGGTCTTGAACCCTTGGACTGAGGCTATCTTCTTGTCTCCACCTCCCAAAGTGCTGGGATTACAGGTGTGAGCCACCACGCCCAGCCTACTTCTTATATCACTTAAAATTTCCCCCTTAACTGTATTGAGGTTCACTCTTTTTTTTTTGAGTTGGAGTCTCACTCTGTCGCCCAGACTGGAGTGCAGTGGCGCTCCTGGCCACCGCAGCCTCGACCTGCTGGGCTCCGGCGATCCTTCCGCCTCAGCCTTCTGAGTAGCTGGAACTACAGGCACGCGCTACCATGCCTGGCTCATTTTGATTTATTGTAGAAATGAGGTCTCACAAGTTGCCCAGGTGGGTCTCGAACCTGCAGGCTCAGGCAATCCACTCACCTCAGCCTCCCAAGGCGTGGAATTATAGGTTGAGCCACCGAGCCCGGCTGAGGTTCACTTTTGAAAAAACTATACATATTTCGACTGGACATGGAAGCTCATGCCTATAATCCCAGCAGTTTAGGAGGCCAAGGTGAGAGGATTGCCTGAGCCTACGGGTTCGAGACCAGCCTGGGCAACTTGGGGAGACCTCATCTCTACAAGAAATAATAATTTTTAAAAACGATACATATTTCAAGTGCACCATAGGATTAGCTTTGATACATGTCTACACCCACAAAATCATCACCACAATCAAGATGATGGACATTTTCAACACATCCCACAATCCACCCTCCCCTACTTCCCCTCTCACAAGTAACTGCTGATCTGCTTCTTAAAATTGTTATAGATGAGTTTCCAAGTTCTAGAATTATATATGAGTGGGATCCCTTAGTACGTATTCTCTTTTAGGTCAGCTTCTTTGACAGCATAGTGATTTTGAGATGTATCCATGTTGTCGTGTATATCAGTGACTTGGCCCTTTTTAATGCCAAATAGTATTTCATTGTATGGATGTACCACAGTGTGTTTATGGATGTGTTGATGGATGCTTGCTTTGCTTCCAGTTTTTGATATTATAGCTAAAGCTATGAACATTTATATACAAGTCTTTGTGAACACATTTTCATTTCTCTTGGTTAAATACCTAGGAGTGGAGTGGCTGGCTTGTATGGTAGGAGAATGTTAAGAAACTGCCAAACTCGGCTGGGCGCGATGGCTCACGCCTGTCATCCCAGCAATTTGGGAGGCCGAGGTGAGAGGATTGCCCGAGCCCACGGGTTCCAGATAGAGCCTGGGCTACAGAGTGAGACTCAACTCAAAAGAAAAAAAAAAAGAAAGAAACTGCCAAACTGTTTTCCAAATAAGTTGCACCATTTTACATTTCCACCAGCAGTGTATAAAGGGTTCATTTTCTTTGCATTTTTACTGATTCTTAGTCTGATCAGTCTTATGATTTTGGCCAACTTAGTGGGTGTGGCTTTAATCTGCATTTCCCTAATGACTAATGACCATGAGCATCTTTTCCTGTGCTTATTGTTCATTTGTCTGTCTTCTTTGGAGAAATTTCTGTTCATATCTCCCCCCACCCCCCCTTTTTTTGGAATCAGAGTCTCTGTGGCCTAGGCTGGAGTGCAGTAGCATGATCTTGGCTACCACAGCCTTGACCTGCTGGGCTCAGGTGATCCTTCCTTCTCAGCCTTCCATCTTTTTCTCATTTTTTTTTTTTTATTGTTGTTGTTGAGTTGGAGTCTCACTCTGTCACCCAGACTGGAGTGCAGTGGCCTCTCCCCGGCCACCGCAGCCTCGACCTGCTG